AGTACAACTAGCAGCAAAACAGCCCCAGATCATGATGCTACCACCATGCTTCACAGCTGGTACAGTGTTCTTAGGTTTACAGCCTCACCTTTATACCTATAAACATACCTGTTATTCAGCGAGGGCAAAGAGCTCCATATTTGTCTCGTCTGAACATAAAACTTTCTTCTTCTTCCAGATCTCGGCAAAGTGAACTGATGATTTCTAAATCTGCATTTGTTCAGAAACGACTGCAAGAGATTTTCCCAATGTGTGTAAATCGATAATTCTTCTTCTTAGATCCTCATTTGGTTCTTTAGACGTTCCCATTGTTATGAGCATTGGTCAGTCAGCTGACAAAGCTGACAAAGAGAAACTACCAGTAGTAGTCAAACATGATTATTGGAGAGGAGTTAACACACCTTGGCCTTGTCAAACTTAAAGACAATGTAGAACATTCGGCACTATATCTATTAAATATTTAAATTATTGTATTTATACTCTGGACCTTGTGTGGATTGGAGAAAATCCAAAATGCGTTCTCCCCAAGATTCATGTTCCTTTAGAGTAATTAGATTACATGTACAATCCTTCCGCCCTGGAAAAAGAGCAGTTCAAAGGAATCATTAAAACTGCTAAATTACCATGATGTTCAACCCTGATGGATGTAAACCATGAAGAACAGTTTTATTTTATTTAGACCGAGCAGGATTTTTAAATGGGCACTAATGTGCTCATTTCCAGCTCCATATTTTCATTTGAGAAAAGTAGCTATGAATGATTTAGTGTCCCCTCATGTCTTCATACAGTTTTACATATGCTGATAAGGATTTATGTAGGCTATAGTGGTAACATATTTTTGTGAGGTATGCTCCTGTTTTTAACAACATGATTAAATTTCTTATTTTGTCCTCGTGTTCAGTATGTAAAGCAACACACTTTTTTGCCCCTGGCAGGTTTCCCCTCAGGGCCAATAAAGTTTGCTTTACTTTCTTACTTTATTTACTTTTACTTCATCACGGCTGCTTTTCAATATATTTTACATATATTTCCTGTACTAAACATTTCCAAGGGCACTGCTTTCAAACTCACAGACACCTCAAGGACCTCATTACTTTGTAACTATACTTTTGTCTCAGGAGTCCCTTCCTTTGGCAGTACCAACAGGCAGCTACTTATAAGTCACTTAGTTAACCTCAAATCCTCGTTTAGCTTGCATCTGCAGTGTGGCTTACTGTAAAGGACAAACTGTGACCAAACAAATCCTCGTAATATATTAGTCCCTTTAATGGATAAATGTTTGTTTGTTTGTTTTTTTTTTTTAAAAAGCACATTTTCATAGTTTCTTGCTGTACATATAAACCCAATGGTAATATTCACATGAAAACAAATATGTAAAAATATTCTATCTATGATAGCGATTCTCATGCAGATCAAAATGCCACATGTAAATGCACAGATGAGCCAAAACATTAGGACCGGTCTTCTCGTAAATCAGGTTGCTGGAATTTGGTGAAACCCCTGACACCTGCAGTCTTTGAAACGACCAGCAGGTTGCAAAATAAGCCTGAATGCACGGAAGTCTATGAAAACACAAAACAAACATTTCTCATTTTTCTGAGATCTTAGTAAACACTTTCAATTCTTCTTCAACATAGCATTTTATGAACACAGTTAAAAAAAAAAAAAAAAAAAAAAAGTGGCCATGTCCATCTTTGCTATACAGTCTATGGGAAAGGCCTGATACACGACCACCTAAACGGCACCGTGTTTTTGTGAGTACTCCTGGTCAGCAGAGGCGAGTACCAGCGGTGTGTGTTGCAACAAGTTTGATCTGCAGCAACTCCAAAACATGGTTTCCTATATTTAAAAGTTCTGATGTTACTCTACTCTAGCACTTTACTCAAGACAAAGTAGAGTACCCCAACAGCTTTTTGTAAAAGTCAGACTTAATCTTCTTTAATGCATTATTCCACTGAGTTATTTACAGTAGATGCCCAAATCCAAACACACACACACACACACACACACACAAATGTAAATATGCACACCTATACAGTGCAATCAGTAGCTTTCTTTCTCCCATGGCTATGCATCTTGGCTCAAACAGTCACCTCTGCACTCAACACAGTCCTTCATCGATGCCCCCTGAGTTAATTTCTGAGTATCTTCTGTATCTTCTCTCTTTACTGCTCGGCCGATCCAGTGGTATCATCGCTTTCAGCTCCCTGCGGAGAACCGGGAATGGATCCTCCAACCGACCCGTCGTCTCTTCCTCCCACTCTCCTCGCAGCCTTGCTCTTCAGCAGGGGGCTCTCAGGGTGAAGCGAGTGGAGATGGATGAGCAGCGCATCCTGAGTTGCTGCCGTGTGGCCGCACTCCTCGCACACGTACAGCTTGTTGCGTCGCTCCTTGTAGGCGTACTTCAGGGTGACGCTGTGGATCTTCTTCATGTGGGACTCCAGAGAGCAGCGCTGGGTGAAGGCCTTGTCGCAGAAGTTGCACTTGTATGGACGGACGCCTGTGTGGAAAATGAAAGGAACATCATCCGTTACCTCTGTGTACGTGTGGAGGTCTGAATATGCCAAAAATAATATAATATATACTTATTGGGTCATTTTTAAAATTTTAATTGTGTTGTACATTTTGTACATTTGTTTTATGGTCTAAACACACAAAGTGAGTGGCTACCTGTATGTGTGCGCACGTGTCTTTTGAGGTCGAAGGTGTCGTTGAAGCCTTTGCCGCAGAAGCTGCACAGGTGTCTCTTTGTCTCGTTGTGACACTTGATGTGTCTGTTCAACATTCGCTGGTACTGGAAAGTCTTCTGGCAGACCTGTAAATGAAGCAACAACACGACGATCAGGGCACTTCGACACTTCGCCGACCTTCAGCCACCTTTTGTTTTTCTTGTGGACAAACATTAGCCAAGTTTACAGTCAGTGTTTACCTTTGTGTGAGGCATTCTGTGCAAACTGCACTTATGTAAGACATCTCTAGCCACGTCTTATCTTTTATTTTATATATACATATTTGATGCCAGATCCAGGCCAGACCTGTTTTCTATGGGCTTGGGCCACACACACCAAACCACAATTGGGCTAGGTGTGGCTGCCATCACATAGACA